AGTGGTGCTACGTTGACCCGACCGCGTGCAACACCGAGTACAGCACGACCGCGTACGTGGTGGGCGCCACCCTGCACTACTCGTACCGTGCGTGCGGCTTCAGCAACGAGTTCGAGAGCTGGTTCTACCAGCCGCCGCCGCCGTCGCCGCCGCCGTCGCCGCCGCCGCCCTCGCCGCCGCTCGACTGCCCGTGCCTCACCGCCTACCCGACCGGCGTCAGCCTCGTGAGCGGCGAGGTGCAGGTCGTCGCGGCGGACGGCGTGAGCCTCGCGTACCCCGGCACGTACGGCCTCCACGGGTGCGACTCGCACGACAGCGGGCTCGAGCCGTCCTGCAACTCGACCGGCTACCCCGGCTGGTGCGAGCACGAGTGGTGCTACGTCGACCCGACCGCGTGCAACACCGAGTACAGCACGACCGCGTACGTGGTGGGCGCCACCCTGCACTACTCGTACCGTGCGTGCGGCTTCAGCAACGAGTTCGAGAGCTGGTTCTACCAGCCGCCGCCGCCGTCGCCGCCGCCGTCGCCGCCGCCGCCCTCGCCGCCGCTCGACTGCCCGTGCCTCACCGCCTACCCGGCCGGCGTCAGCCTCGTGAGCGGCGAGGTGCAGGTCGTCGCGGCGGACGGCGTGAGCCTCGCGTACCCCGGCACGTACGGCCTCCACAGGTGCGACTCGCACGACAGCGGGCTCGAGCCGTCCTGCAACTCGACCGGCTACCCCGGCTGGTGCGAGCACGAGTGGTGCTACGTCGACCCGACCGCGTGCAACACCGAGTACAGCACGACCGCGTACGTGGTGGGCGCCACCCTGCACTACTCGTACCGTGCGTGCGGCTTCAGCAACGAGTTCGAGAGCTGGTTCTACCAGCCGCCGCCGCCGTCGCCGCCGCCGTCGCCGCCGCCGCCCTCGCCGCCGCTCGACTGCCCGTGCCTCACCGCCTACCCGACCGGCGTCAGCCTCGTGAGCGGCGAGGTGCAGGTCGTCGCGGCGGACGGCGTGAGCCTCGCGTACCCCGGCACGTACGGCCTCCACGGGTGCGACTCGCACGACAGCGGGCTCGAGCCGTCCTGCAACTCGACCGGCTACCCCGGCTGGTGCGAGCACGAGTGGTGCTACGTTGACCCGACCGCGTGCAACACCGAGTACAGCACGACCGCGTACGTGGTGGGCGCCACCCTGCACTACTCGTACCGTGCGTGCGGCTTCAGCAACGAGTTCGAGAGCTGGTTCTACCAGCCGCCGCCGCCGTCGCCGCCGCCGTCGCCGCCGCCGCCCTCGCCGCCGCTCGACTGCCCGTGCCTCACCGCCTACCCGACCGGCGTCAGCCTCGTGAGCGGCGAGGTGCAGGTCGTCGCGGCGGACGGCGTGAGCCTCGCGTACCCCGGCACGTACGGCCTCCACGGGTGCGACTCGCACGACAGCGGGCTCGAGCCGTCCTGCAACTCGACCGGCTACCCCGGCTGGTGCGAGCACGAGTGGTGCTACGTCGACCCGACCGCGTGCAACACCGAGTACAGCACGACCGCGTACGTGGTGGGCGCCACCCTGCACTACTCGTACCGTGCGTGCGGCTTCAGCAACGAGTTCGAGAGCTGGTTCTACCAGCCGCCGCCGCCGTCGCCGCCGCCGTCGCCGCCGCCGCCCTCGCCGCCGCTCGACTGCCCGTGCCTCACCGCCTACCCGACCGGCGTCAGCCTCGTGAGCGGCGAGGTGCAGGTCGTCGCGGCGGACGGCGTGAGCCTCGCGTACCCCGGCACGTACGGCCTCCACGGGTGCGACTCGCACGACAGCGGGCTCGAGCCGTCCTGCAACTTGACCGGCTACCCCGGCTGGTGCGAGCACGAGTGGTGCTACGTCGACCCGACCGCGTGCAACACCGAGTACAGCACGACCGCGTACGTGGTGGGCGCCACCCTGCACTACTCTTACCGTGCGTGCGGCTTCAGCAACGAGTTTGAGAGCTGGTTCTACCAGCCGCCGCCGCCGTCGCCGCCGCCGTCGCCGCCGCCGCCCTCGCCACCGCCGTCGCCGCCGCCCTCGCCGCCGCTCGACTGCCCGTGCCTCACCGCCTACCCGACCGGCGTCAGCCTCGTGAGCGGCGAGGTGCAGGTCGTCGCGGCGGACGGCGTGAGCCTCGCGTACCCTGGCACGTACGGCCTCCACGGGTGCGACTCGCACGACAGCGGGCTCGAGCCGTCCTGCAACTCGACCGGCTACCCCGGCTGGTGCGAGCACGAGTGGTGCTACGTCGACCCGACCGCGTGCAACACCGAGTACAGCACGACCGCGTACGTGGTGGGCGCCACCCTGCACTACTCGTACCGTGCGTGCGGCTTCAGCAACGAGTTCGAGAGCTGGTTCTACCAGCCGCCGCCGCCGTCGCCGCCGCCGTCGCCGCCGCCGCCCTCGCCGCCGCTCGACTGCCCGTGCCTTACCGCCTACCCGGCCGGCGTCAGCCTCGTGAGCGGCGAGGTGCAGGTCGTCGCGGCGGACGGCGTGAGCCTCGCGTACCCCGGCACGTACGGCCTCCACGGGTGCGACTCGCACGACAGCGGGCTCGAGCCGTCCTGCAACTCGACCGGCTACCCCGGCTGGTGTGAGCACGAGTGGTGCTACGTCGACCCGACCGCGTGCAACACCGAGTACAGCACGACCGCGTACGTGGTGGGCGCCACCCTGCACTACTCGTACCGTGCGTGCGGCGTCAGCAACGAGTTCGAGAGCTGGTTCTACCAGCCAACCTTTGCGCTTCATCCACAGTAGGTCGTTCCCCATGATTCTATGTGTGCGTGGCGTCAGTGTGTTGTAGGGATATGCGAGGGTATGTGCGTGTGCGCGTGCGTGTAGCGTGTGCATGTGTTTGCGTGCGTGTGTGTGTGCACCTGATGTTGTGCCTGTCGGCTGTGAGAGAGTGGCGTCGGTTAACCTTTTCTCTAACATCGCTTTGTCCATGTTGAGCACTTGAATTTGAGCACTGTGAACGCCCCGGGTCTCCCTCCTGCTGTGGCGGCTTTGGGGGGTTTCCCTCTATCTCTTCCATCTCTCTTTTTCGGGTTGATTTTCCTTCTCCACTTATCTACCTCCACTTGAAGTGTCACTTGCGATCCTTGGGGGGAGTCATAACTCAGCACGGTTTCCAGGTCCGAGGTGCACGCCGCCGCGAGGGACCCCGCCGGAGGGTAGCGGGCGGCGTCATCCCCCTCTCCACGCACGGCGTACGGTTTCCAGGGACGGCTGCTGCGCAAAGTGATCAGTTCTAATGAATGTACCGGGGCCCAACGGATAGATGAATCCGGGGCACCCTCCGCTCGAATCCCTGGCCGGGGGTTCGAGGTGGCCCCCACCCTGGGGCCTCCCATCAAAGGGACTGCTGCAGAAGACGCCCAATCTTGCACAAGTGCAAGAACCATACGGTTTGGGTACCGGCGGATAGCAGGTGAACGCTAAGGTGGGTTTCGAACCAGTGACAACGCCCGTCTGGGACTGGGTTTTTTGCGCCGAGTCGAACTGCGGGATTCGAACTCGAGACCCAATGCAGTTTTGCGACCAACGGTGGCATAAAGTGAATGATACACCGTCGCAGGATATGCAACGGTGGCATAAAGTGAATGATACACCGTCGCACTTCGGACCTCTGTGCTTTGAAGTGAGACGATTCTTTTCCCTTCGCGGCAACGCCGATGGCGGCAAGGCCTCTTTGCGCGCCCACCCTCGTCACGCAGAAGACCAACCGGCGTCGGACCGCGGTGAGACCGCGCCGCCCTCCGCGCCCGCCCGCGCCCGCAGCGTGAACACATACGCGCGTCCCTCGCCGCACGGAAACATACGCGCCAGCCGCGCAGAAGCCTCACATGCAGCGCACATTGGCATACTCGCTCCCTGGGCCGCCGACGACCCGGTCGGGCGGGCTGCGCGGCCGCCGCACACCATCAGGCAGGCGCGCGACCACCCACAGCACGCCGCAGCCCGCCGCGCAGCCCTGCCAACCAAGCCTGCGCCTCACAGCTGCACAAACAGGGCGCACAACAGAATACAGCACACAGCACACACCGGCGGCGCGCGCGCAGCACACGCAGACGCGCGCGCGACCGCAACACGCACTCGTACACAGCACGCGCGCGTCGCACGCCAGCGCAGCGCCACACACAGAGCACACTTCCCATCAGCAGCAGCAGCCTGCCACAATCCACATCTCACACACGCGCGCACACACTCCCCCCTTCCGGCGCACGCATTGGGCGTCGCCGTGAGCTCCCAAAGCTGACTTGTGTGGCTGCTTGTGCTGCCTGCTCATGAGCCAACCCAAAAGCTCACTTGTATGGCTGCTTGTGCTGCCTGCTTGCAGCTTGGCAGCACAAGCAGCCACACAACATCCCGCTTCATCTCGCCTCCTAGTCTCGCCTCATCTCGCCTCATCTCGCTTCACCTCGCTTCATCTCGCCTCACCTCGCTTCATCTCGCCTCACCTCGCTTCATCTCGCCTCACCTCGCCGCATCTCGCCTCACCTCGCCTCATCTCGCCTCACCTCGCCTCATCTGACATCTCGCCTCATCTCGCCTCATCTCGCCTCATCTCGCCTCATCTCGCCTCATCTCGCCTCATCTCGCCTCATCTCGCCTCATCTCGCCCCTCACCTCGCCTCACCTCGCCTCATCTCGCCTCATCTCGCCCCATTTTTTCTTTTCTAGACCAACTCCGAGACCGACCCAAGACCGACCCGAGACCCGAGATCGACCCGAGATCGACCCGAGATCGACCCGAGATCGACCCGAGATCGACCCGAGATCGACCCGAGATCGTCGGCACAAGCGATCAACCCAAAAAACGACATTGAGTGCATGAAGCTGATGGAGGCTGGCGAGTGCATCAAGACACCTTCCCCGACCCTGGAACTATGTCCTGTCAGCTGCGGTATTTGCTTTCCCGCGTGCGCGGATAAGGAGACGAGTTGTGAGTCCAGGGCTCGCCTGGGGCACTGCGAAAGTAACGCAGTCAACATGGTACGCGATTGCCCTGTCGCCTGCGGGATATGCAAGCCAAAGCCAATCGACACGCACAGCTCCTGTGGAGCGTGGGCTGACGATGGCGCGTGCGAGAGCAACAGCGCGTACATGCTCCACACCTGCCCCTTGGCTTGCGCTCTGTCGAGGGGTGGTGGCGGTGAGACGCCGCTTCCGCCAGCTGGAGCAGTGATGGGGGGCGTCGGGGTGAACAACCGTTTCATCGAGGCGTACGTCGCTGGACGCAAGAAGCTGGAGGAATTTTGCGAAGATGATCCCGATGCTGACTGCGCCGCATGGGCAGCGGACAAACAGTGCGATACCAACCCAGGTTTCATGCAGCGCAGCTGTGGGCGGAGCTGCCAGGTGTGTACGTACCTGTGCGAGGACCTCGACAAGGAGTGCCCCGCGTGGTTTGCCAGCGGGGAGTGCGACAAGAACCCAAACGGTATGCGCACGTCGTGCCCACGGCATTGCGGCATCTGCCAGGGGCAGGGCAAGGGGGCGAGGAGAGCCGCCCACCGGCCTGCTCATGCAGGCCCTGCGCCGCCAGTACAGTCCCCCCGCGCGGGTGCCGCGATGACCTCGGACGCGCCGCCGAGTCACGAAGCGGCGCGTGTCCGTGTGCTGATGCGTGAAGCTATGGAAGCGGCCGGAGAATCCATGGACGAGGCAGACGAGGAGGAACCGCAACCGGAAGCGGTCGAGGCTGTTGAAGCTGCGCTGGGTGCTCATGAGTTCACGGAGGCCGTAGAGGTGGGTGCTGAGGCGGCCTTCGCAGAGTCTTCCCAGAAGGCATTTGAGGCTGAAGAGGATGAAGAAGAGGAGCCTCGGCCGCGTCGGAGCTGCAGAGAGCGGCACGCGGCCCGGTGCCGTTCGGGCGCCGCTCACCGCTTCGCAGCGAGCCCGGGCTCTGTAAACATCTCCGTCGCGAGCTGCGCACGCCCCGCGGGTCCGTGTGACTGTAGCTGTATCTCCCAAACATCTCCCGCAGCTCAAAGCGATCTCGGCCTAATCTCCATGGCTCGAGATTGCACGAGATAAAAACGGCGCTTTCGAGGTGGGGCGCCAAGATCTGGATAGCGGAGCGCGTAGAACGCGCGCTGCCGATGTGCACAGAGCCCGGGATGGCCAGCATCCGCCCTCGTGGTCGCGAACGGCGCCGGTCGACGCGTGCGGCTCTGCGTCAACCAGTACGGAGCCCGAAATGCGTCCAAAAGTAAAAAAATCAGCTTTCCGCGCCTCTTCACTGCTCACCGCCGCGCAGGCGTGTTCCGGGGGCCCAGTGGAGCATTTCATCTAGTGGCGGCACCAGCTCTAGAGAAATTTATAATTTCTCAGTGGGGTTTTGACATAGTGCGCTGCACGCGCACACCCACACACAGCGGAGAGGGGCCTCTCAAACGGTCAAACCCTCTCGCGCAGCACGCCCCGGTTGCGCTTGCGGCAAGCGGTCTCGATCAGGCTGTCAGCATAGCGGGGAGCAGGAGCCTGCAGGGCCAGGCCGGGGGGGGGCTCGCTCGAGCGAGACGCACGACACGAGCAAAGGGCTGAAAGCAGAGGCACTCGATTGCTTTTCGTTCCCGCGCTCCATCCCTCCGGTCTTACAATGGGCTAGACCGGAGGGCTACGAAGCAAGCCTTCACACAAGGGCATCATCGACAAACGTATATGCTGGTCACCGGCCGGTACAGTGGCGCGGATCGGGTGCGAAAAAGCGGCGATAGCGAGTGCAGGAGGCATGGTGTGTTGGTGGTCCGATAGCTACTTGGACTTCTTGGCAAGTGGCGTGCACTGCGGCTTGCACATCTCCTTGGCCTCCTCCCGCGGCGTCACCTCAACCTTTGCGATCCCCTTGGTGATCTTGGTTGCCTACGGGGGCGGTGCGCAGGCTGCCTAGGTCGGGTAGGCGGTCTATTTGTGACATCCACAGCGAAGACGGACAGGATCCGGCATCTAGACGGGCACCTCGTACATGCACTTGGACATGCAGTCGTTGTACTCCTTGCCCTTGTCGGCGGCGAACGCCCTCGCCGGCGCTCGCCCGGCCGCTGCCGCTGCGGTCACGGCGACCGCTCTTCTGCTCAGCTGGGGCGCGGCCATTGACGCCTGAACTGAGTGCACGCAAAGCGCCAGCAGCAGCAGATTCAGATGGCGGGCCATGGCAGTGTACAGCCTGGCGCGCAGATAGCCCAGCGCAAATCTGGGTTCCGGCTCCTACCCGGATGGGGGTCTGTTGCCACTGGCTGGCCCCTCCCAGATAGGTAGGTAGGTTGGTCTTGTTTGGCCCCAAAGGGCCCTGCAATAGGTAGGTACCCCCTATTTTCATCTTTTTTCGATTCGCTGCGCGGCCTGGGAATAGGTAGGTAGGTAGGGCGTTTTGGCGCGAGTCAGTGGGAACAGACCCCCTATCCGGGTAGGAGCCGGAACCCTGGCTGTGCTGGGTTCGGGCTCCTTGAAGATAGGGGCGCATTTGCGGGGACTTGCCCCTTTTTACCCATCTCGTATATCCGTTTTATTGATTTATTTGTGCTAACCGCTAAACCCACCAACGGGCAGTGCTTCCCATACAGCGTGCGCAGCGTGCCGAGCCCGACGAGGTAGCCGTCCTCGTCGTGCAAGCCCCACCCGGCTGGCGGGTGGATCTAGGGGCGTGCCGCCCTGCTTGCTCTAGGTGAAACGTCTAAAGGACGAAGATGCACGGAGGTGCGACCAACTCAGCACGACGGGCGGAGAAGTCGGGCACTAGACCAGGAAGGACTGGGAGAGTGTGAATGGAGGGACACGTGTGGTTCAGACGTCCCCCCCCTCGACGTAGTCGAGTCACTCACATGGATAGAGAGGAAAGTGTCCCTCTCGATGGGGCATGGAACATGCACTGGATGAACATGCACTGGAGAGTCTATGGCTCTCGCGGGTGGGGGGGGGCGGCACTGTTCGCGACTCGCGGCGCGGCGCCCGCGCCCACGTCTCGGTGAAGGAGATTTACTTCCCATCCGACTGGGAGGAAGGCTCCTTGACATTCATGATCTTGTCCCGCAGCTCGAAGAAGCGCTGGGGTTTGAGCGGCTTCGTGAAGAAGTCGGCGAGCTTCTCGTCGCTGCAGACGAAAGGAACACAAGATCTTGGCTTCTTCGATGGCCTCGCGGATGAAGAAGTGGCGCCGCTCGACGTGTTTGAGCCTGCCGTGGTTCTCGGGGTTGTAGGCAGAGGCAATGGCGGCCTGGTTGTCACAGTACTGCTTGGTGGGCGGGGCCTCGGGAGGGGTGGCGTACGCCACGTGCTCCGGCAAAAGCTCTGGGGTGTTCCAGAACAAGTGGTCGACGCGCTTATCCAGCCATTTCCCCAGGCAGTGGGCGACCAGAGCGTCGAGCGCTTTGCTCGGCAATGACACCGCGCCAGCCGAATCAAGCAAGTTCTCGCTGGTGCGAATCTCCAGGGTGGAGAGGGTAAACGAAAAAAGTAGCGCCAAGTGCCCAATTCGTCTACGTACGGCTTAGTGAGTGGTTGGGGTGACCTCAGGCATCCCCAAGGGAGCCTCTGCGGTGCCACATAAGCAGCTTAGTGATTGTCGAGACTCTAAAGGATTACACGGCACGCGTCGTCACACAGCCGCGGAGAATAGGCGGTGCAGCGCGCGAAGCGCGCGCGATCTCGTACTTTTAAGGCTGGATCCGGCCATTCCAAGGGTATACCTTTGAGAATCCCCAGCGTCCCACCCTCCTAGTCACACTCTCAATTTCTCGACTGGCCAACACGAAGTGCTGCGATCGGAGGTCGCCCATTTCTTTTTTCCTTTCTTTTTTTGGGCCCTGTGGGCACCCTACCGGGTGAGTGGGTGGGTGGGAATTTTATATTTAGCAATATGAGCCGCCGTCCCCACTCGTACTCGAGTCCGCCGACCGCTATAGGTCGAGCGGGGAGAGAGGCGCTGCCTCCACGGCGGGGACGGAGGCGACACCTCCGTCCCCACCGCCATTGGTTCGAGCGGCAAGCCTTAGGTAGAGCGGGGACGGAGACGTGGAAAAGCGTGCTTGTGAGTGGAAGCCACAAGCGCGCTGGCTCCGGTCGTTTTTATATGAGGGTGTTTTTCTGAGAGAGAGGAGATTTTTAGCAATACCAAGTTTTTCTGAGGGTGTGTTTTCTTGAAGCCTTTCTTAAACTGGGTAACGAACCCCTGTCACTCCGTGAAGTGAACAGAAGAGAGGTGTGAACAGACTGGCGTGCTGATCGTGAAGAGGCGCCATGTCATCGGACACCGAGAGCACGGTCTGCGACCCGCGGTTAGAGGTCGCATCCGAGCCGCAAGTCCCCAAGGGGCCGGGCCAGATAAGGCGCGTGCCCCAGCTGTTCACAGCAACAGCACGGTCTACCCCTGTCGTCCCACCCCAAGTGCAGCAGAAAGATGCAGTAGATAAACACTTCACACCGCACCAAATTTACCCAGGCGCCCTCGAACCACGGGACACGAAGGAGAGCAGACGGCCGGCACAGACATCAGCAACTCCCGGTCGCGCCCCGTCAGAACCGTCAGAACCGACATGGAGACGACGTCGAGCAACGCCAGTGACGTCGTCTGGCCGGGGTACCTCGCCCTCGGAAGCATTGCGGAGGCGGAATCGGTTTCCCTGCCGGTTTCGCTCGCCCCCGACTCACTTCGCGACGCCTGCGCGGAGATCGAGCACATCAGGCTTTGCGGCGGCGTCGCTGCCTGTGCCGCCGGCAGCGAAGCTCTGGCCGTCGCTTATCTCGTGGCGAGCGGCCGTGCCCCCCGCCTCGCCGACGCGATCCGGGCTGTCGCCGTTGTGCGGGTAGCAGGGCGTTCCGATTCCGCCGACCCCGCCGACCCCGAGCCGCTCGATGGCTGGCTACGAGACGACGCCCTTCCTGCGCTCCTGCGGCTCGAGATGAGCGTGCGCGGCGAGCCGTCCGACCTGAGCGAGCTCGGCGGCTGTCCTGCCCGCTGGTGCTGGACGCACTGGGCGAGTGGCCGGCAGACGACACTGGTTGGGCGTGGGCGCGCCGTTGAGGTGCGCGCAGCAGCGCCAGTGCCACGGCTGCCCCTGTACCGCCTGCAGCTGCTGCGTGCCGTGCACTCCGCCGCAGTGCGCCCCGCAGCCCCGCCTCTATCTGAGCTGCACAGTGGCGGCGCACGGACCCCGAAACACCGCGCCCGCTCGCGCAGGTGCAGCGGCTGCGACCAGACCCGCGCATGGCCAGGCTGCGCCACTTTCTCACCGCCGACGAGGCGGCGCACATCATCGCCCTCGCCCGCGCCTCTCTCCGCCCCTCGCGCGTCGTCAATCACGGCGCCTCCCTCCGCCCCTCGCCCCTCGACCAACCCTCTCCCGCGCCCGCGCCTCCCGCGCCCGCTGCCCCTCCTCTTCGCCCGCGCCCGCTCCGCACCCCTCCCACTCCTCACGCCCCCTCGCTCCTCCGCCAGCCACCGGCGGCGCGGGTGTTCTCTCACCGGCGAGGACCTCCTACTCGTGCAAGGTGGACGCGTCCCGGACACTCCCCAGACGCGTCCTTCACACTAGACACGTCCGCGACACGTCCATTGCAGGTGGCGCACACTCACCCCCGCCTCGCCCCTCGCCGCGCCCATTTCCCAAACAGGTTGGCGCCTCCGCCGACCCGGTCGTGCGGCGCGCAGTGCAGCGCGCTGCGTACCTGGGCGGCCTGACGCCGGCGCACGCTGAGGCGGTCCAGCTGGCGCACGGCCATAGATGGAGCCACAGATGGACTCGGAGCACAAACCCGTGCCCTCCGCCCGGAGAGACGGGGCGCGACGTGCTCAGCTGTGCTCCGCCGCCCCTCCCACCCTCCTCGCGCCCTCGCCGCCGAGCCGCAGCCCCTTGTCTTCCCGCGAGGCCGCTAGCACTCCCGCCGGAGGGGCGTGTGCGGAACCCCTCCAGGTGCACTACCAGCCCGGCCAGGAGTACCGCCCGCACTTCGACTGGCTCTCTCCGACCGACGCGCGCTTCGCCGAGAGGACGCGCGACACGGGCGACCGGCTCGCCCTGCTAGCCCTGACCCTAACCCTGACCCCAACCCCGGCCCCTGACCCCGAGCCTAGAGGAGCACGGGCGACCGGCTCACCCTCGGATCGACGACTCCTTTTGGTGAGCCGGGAGGCGGTGAGAGCGCGTGGTTGCATCAGGCAACCGGCTTCTCTCCTTCTTCATCTTCCTCTCGGGCTGCGACGCGGGCGGCTGCACTGCCTTCCCCCGCCTCAAGCAGCGCTTCCCTCCCGAGGCGGGCTCAGGGCTGGTCTGGTACAACCTCGACCGCGACGGCGCGCCCGACGAGCGGCGCGCGCCACCGCAGCCGAGCGCCACTCTCCTCTGGCGGGTCGGGCTCACCCGCCAGCCGCTCCCCCACAGGACGCTCCACGCCGGCGAGCCCGTCGAGCGAGGCGAAAAGTGGGGGCTCAACATCTGGCTGCGCGAGCGTCCGCGCCGGCCGCCGACGGCGCGCGTCCGCGCCCTCGCGCGCGCCCGCGCCGACGGCGCGGTGCGGCTCTGCCTCTCCGTCTCGCCCGTTGCGCCGCCGTCGACGAGATGTGCCGGGTAGACGCCGCGCGCGAGCCCCAAACCCGCCCCTCCCCCGCCGGCCCCCATCGAGGCGCCCGCACGCGCGGCTGGCAGGTGCGGCGACATCGAGACGCCCCTCGGCCTCTGCCTCTGCCGCTCCAAGTATGGCGAAGAGCCGGTCGCAGCCCCGCCAGAGCGGATCCCGATCTACTGCGATGGCACGGCCGTCTTCCGACGCACCACCCTCTTCAGCCGCGAGCCTTCCTGACTTGCCTGTTGCGCCCAGGCACCTTAATCTCTATAGCCTAAGGCCGACTACTCTGCGGTGTCTCGCTGCTCGCTATTTCCTACATGGAATTTCTAGTAGAGAACTGGTGACACGAGTTTAAGCTATAACAACCTTAATAAAAGTTATAACAATGTGGCCACGATCCACGTGTGCGCGCAGCTGCGTGTGCGAGAGAAGCGCGGCGGCTCTGTGACCTCTGAGACTTCCTCTGTGACTGTGTGTGCACTGTGGACTGTGCCTGTCTGACGGCCCTCAGTCAGACCGCTGGAGCGCGGCGGCTCTTAACCCGCGTGGTGGGGCAATGGGTGGGGTGCGGGCAGTATTATGAGGGTGTGTGCGAGATACGGCTCTGCATTGCGAGAGTCGGCTCCGCCCGTCCTATATATATCCACACAACGTCCGGCGTGAAGGAACGAGAGCCGTTCACGCCTTCAGCCCTTCACGCGTGTGGCGAGGTGCAGCCGCGCCGCCCACAGAAGCGAGAGGCGGGACTCGCACCGCGAGAGTGCCACGGCGGCCCCTCTCGAGGAGTGGCCTTCGCCGCCGCGGCTCGACTGAGGTCGCGCCGGGTCCTTGCGCTGCGGCAGCATGTCGCCCAGCTCAAAGCTGCGCAGTTCCGCCTCCTCGGACTGGTCAGGCGAGGAAACATCGCCGCCGCGATGGCCGGCGGCAGAGGCGGTGTGCCGCTTCGCGGGCTAACAAGAGACGACAGGGGGGGGAGGGGGGGGTAAGACGGGCAGCCAGCCGCGAGAATGGGGTGTCGGGGTCGAACGGTTTGCTCACTTGTGGTCTGCGTAACGCGGGTTTCTAGTGGGGTCGGGAGCTATCGGGCGGCACACCGTGAGCAGTCCGGGCGAGGCGATTCGAGGGTGCTTCTGCTTCTGCCGCCCCCTCTCCTCCCGCTGGCGCTGGGAGAGCCCTGCTCGAGCAATGTAGGAGGGGGTGAGGCGGTGAGACTTGTGGGGCTGTCGTGAGGGCGGGGAGCGCGAGCGGGGCCTGCGAGCTCTCCATCTTTGGCCTGGTGCTGCTCCAGTTGGTCGCGCGACGCCATTGACAGAGAGACGAAGTTGAGGCTGGCCGCCGTATCGACGAATGACGTAGTATCGAGGCAGCTGAGGCGGTGGGACAGGGTCAGTGCAGGCTCTGCCGCAGGGTGGGAGCGTTTTGGCGGAGCACTGTACCCCCGCGAAAGTGAGATGATGTTGAGGCAGGCCGCTTGCTTGCGCGTCTCGCGCGCCCCTGCCCGCGCCGCCCGTAGGCCCAAGGGCGCCTCCGCCCGCGGCGGCGCCATGAGGGTACCCAGTGACCGCGGCGTGCTGTGGAGAACGCCTGCCGGAGTGGGCAGAGCGGCGGCAGCGAGGGACGCGATTGGCACTCCTCGGTCACTGCTGAGCTGGCGCCTGGGTGGCCGACGAAGGGCAACAGGTCGATACTGCCTTGGTGGAGGCTGGCTGCCTACCGCGGACGAGCGCATTGCAGGAGATCTGAACCTGTCCTTTTGCCGCCCCTGCGGCAAAATCCCCCCGAACCGCCGAAATTCATCGAATAATCTGCCGGAGATCTGGCCTCGAAGTACCCCTCCGCGAATCGTCGCGGCAAGGCACACATTTGCTCTCTCTCTCTCTCCCTCCCTCCCTGTCTTCTGATAAACGCAGTATGGAAGATACAAAGAGACGGAGGAGCAACGAGCGCCCTGGCGTTTCAGAGTGCCCCAAATCGCCCCACTGCAGATAGAGCTCGGGCACCGGGATTTGGCGGGAGTGCAGAGCCTGGATGCACACCGTACGGAACGCATCCTCATCCACGTGCACCGTGCCGAAAACGCCGAGGTCGGACAAGGCACCGAGGATGCGGCGCCAAGCCGCGGCCAATACGGCCAGCCGCAAGACGCTGAGCCTGTCAAAGTAGGCGGCCACAGCGGGCTCGGGCTCACTGAAGGGGAGCAGCGCACTGATGGCGACCCACTGCGGAATCTGGGCCCACGACGGTTGCATCCCCGGAGGAGGAGGGGGCAGCTGGAGGAGGGCCGGATTGCCCACCACAGACCACGGAATGAAGCGCATGGTAGAGCCTACCACTGTTGAGTCGACGGGTATCACCAGTGGCTTTGCGGGATCGGGGTGCTGCTCGGCCGGAATGCTGAGCTCGGCGGCCGTGAGGTCTGGCATCGCGGCGCCGGTCGTCTCGTCGAGGGCTACCTCTCGACTCTACTCCCGTGTCACAACAACGAGGCACGAGAGCGTGCACGACAGAGCGACGGCGCAGCGTACCGCCGTCCAGCTAAAAAGCGGCGGCCGACGGTTGCTGCGCAAAGTGATCAGTTCTAAAATAGGTGCCGGGGCCCAACGGATAGATGAATCCGGGGCACCCTCCGCTCGAATCCCTGGCCGGGGTTCGAGGTGGCCCCCACCCTGGGGCCTCCCATCAAAGGGACTGCGGCAGAAGACGCCCAATCTTGCACAAGTGCAAGAACCATACCTCTCTCTCTCTCTCTGCTTTGTAAGCGCCTGCTAAAAAAGAAGAAAAGAAGATGTAACCGTCGAGCCGTGTGTGTGGCACTCGTTCGCCGGCGTGCTCCTCGCGACCGTCGGGCAGTCCTGCGACTACAGCTGGGAGCCTGGGACTGCGATTCGAACGAGGATTGCGTCTCGGGCACCTGCAAACTAGAAGGCGGTGAGTGAGTGGTGCAGCACCGACACGGCCTGTTATGCCGGCAGCTGTCGCGGGAATCGCTGCTGCAAGTTGGGCATCTCGGATCTGTGCACCGAGTGCAACACGAATGGCTGCGGGGTGTGCTCCGGCGCATACTACCCGGATGGAAATTACGAACTCGATTGCATCGCCAAGGAACTCCCCGGCACGTATTGCGGCTCCAACCCGGCAGTGTGCCTGAGCGACATGTGCAACTGCGACTCCAGCGGCGCGCCAGATGGGTACACCTCCTCGTACTGCTGTTCACCGCCGCCGCCGCCGCCGCCGCCGCCGCCGCCGCCGCCGCCGCCGCCGCCGCCGCCGCCGCCGCCGCCGCCGCCGCCCCCTCCGCCGCCGCCGTCACCGCCGCAGGCAGTAAAGCCTTCCGGGAAGGGCCAGGGCCACGGGTTATTATTCGCATCCCATCATGGTCTTGGGGAGCAAGAGCTCTCCTGCTGCACTGCGCAAATACCTATCTGGACCCCTGGCGTATTGGCTCCATTTGGCAATAATCAGTACACCTCACGATGACCAGAATTACTGTATCTGCAGTATTGATCAAACCAGTCAGACGTGCGATAGATTTTCCCCTGGATCCGCGTCTGGCTGCAGTGCTGTGGACAATGTGTGGCGGACACCCCGTGGCAGCAATAAGCCTTCCTGGGACTACAAGAAGGATCTAACTTCATGTAAAGCCGCTGCGCGCTAGATGAGGGAGGATACCCCTTGAGCAGAGAGTAGAGTAGTCGCGGAGAGGGACTACAATAGCCTGAGATTCCCGGTCCTTCCAACAGAGCTCCCTCGCGCTCCTCTCTGGCTGCTCGGCCGCGCCCGACGCTCCGCCGCCCGCCCCTCCGTAGGCTCATGCCTCTCGATCATTCAGACTCTCTCTCTCTCTCTCGCTCTCTCTCGCTCTCTCTCTCTCTCTCTCTCTCTCTCTCTCTCTCTCTCCTCTCCTCTCCTCTCTCTCCTCTCTCCTCTCTCCTCTCTCCGCTCTCCTCTCTCTCTCTTCTCTCCTCTCCTGCCTGGCTGCATGCCTGGCTGGTTCTCGAGGTGGACCACCACCAAGAACTGGCATGCTATCTCCAGACCTCCTTCCTATAATGACGCGATTCTTTTTGTGTGTGCCAGTGCGCGCCAGTCCCGTGCGGGTCGCCGTGCTTTTGTCGACGTCGTAAAATTCTTTTCCCAGTGTAAAGAAAGAAAGAAAACAGGCAAACCAAACGAGGGATGGGAGGAGGACAGGGTCCCCACCTGCACGAGCAGGATCTTGGATGGAAGGACGATCAGGGACACAGGGGAAAGGGGGAACGGGAGCGCATCGCGACACGGAGGGGGCTGGGCAGGGTTCACCCACGCGACAGGGTCCCAGGGATTCCTCTCCCGTATAGGACGGGTTGCAGCACCCGGAGGGGCAGGCGCGGGCGTGCACCTGCACTTGGAGCACTTGGAGTGCGGTCATTAACCTCAGGCCGAGGAAATCTTTTTCTCTCTGCCAAAGCAACGACTGCAGCGACTCGCGCTGCGCCAATGAGTGAGCACACCACGCCCGCCGGCAAGCGAGGGAGCAACTCGAAGCGCGCACGAACGTCGTCATCCCGCGCCTCGCGCGTGGGCACCGGCACGCCGCACGTCCTCGAGGAGGCGACGGGCGATTTCAGCGCCGACTACATCACGGTGGGCGTGCTCGGGCGCGGCTCCTTTGCCGAGGTGAACCTGCTGAGCCACCGCGTCTCTGGCGAGCTCTTCGTGCTCAAGACGTGCTGCAAGCTCGACGCGCCGTCGTACTCCCACCTGCGCGCCGAGGCGACGGCGATGGCGGCGTTCCGGTCAGCCGACGCGCCGCACCCGCTCCTCGTCTGCCCGCTGGCGTGCTCGAACCCGCCCGGCCGATCTGCAAACTACTCGCTGCTCATGCCGCTCTGCCCGGGCGGGGACCTGCTGCAGCTGCTGCGCAGGCAAAACACAGCCAGCAGCGCAGCTATCGCCTCGCCCAGACTTCGAGACCCTCCCTCTAGCGGACCACTCGCCTTGTCGCACGGAGGGAAGAGCTAGCCCCCTCCGTTAGGAGTGACCCCCACAAGCGGGTACCTAGTGGGGGGTGGGGGTGGGGGGTGGGGGGGGGGCGGCGAGACTCACAGGCAGCCGCAGGATGGGAGGGAGGAAGGAGGAGTACCAGAAGGAGGAGTACCAGAAGGAGGAGCCCGCACGAGACACAGGAATGAGCACCCGCCCCTGCGCCCCCTCTGCGCAGGCAGCCGAGGGGCGCGTTCCCCGCAGAGCACGCGCGGCTGTACGCCGCGATGGCTTCGCTCGGCGTGCAGGCGCTGCTACTCGTGTACTCCCACGCCCACCACACTGGGGGGGGGGGGGGGTGCGGTGCCTGTTTGCTCTAACTCGGTTGAGGATTGGGGTAGTCAGGGGGAGTTCTGGGAGGAGGGACCGTGGTTTCCGTTGAAGTCGTTCCAGACGTTGTGTGATTTGAAGACGTCTATCAGTTTCGTGTGGAGTTCGATGGAGCCTGTTTCTTTGCAGAGCTCTCCGAATGGCGCGTAGGTGTCTGACAGTGACTGGGGAAGGTGGTAGACTAGGTCGAGTGGTCTGTTCGGGTTTTGTGCCAAAAGCAACGACTGCAGCGACTCGCGCTGCGCCAATGAGTGAGCACACCACGCCCGCCGGCAAGCGAGGGAGCAACTCGAAGCGCGCACGAACGTCGTCATCCCGCGCCTCGCGCGTGGGCACCGGCACGCCGCACGTCCTCGAGGAGGCGACGGGCGATTTCAGCGCCGACTACATCACGGTGGGCGTGCTCGGGCGCGGCTCCTTTGCCGAGGTGAACCTGCTGCGCCACCGCGTCTCTGGCGAGCTCTTCGTGCTCAAGACGTGCTGCAAGCTCGACGCGCCGTCGTACTCCCACCTGCGCGCCGAGGCGACGGCGATGGCGGCGTTCCGGTCAGCCGACGCGCCGCACCCGCTCCTCGTCTGCCCGCTGGCGTGCTCGAACCCGCCCGGCCGATCTGCAAACTACTCGCTGCTCATGCCGCTCTGCCCGGGCGGGGACCTGCTGCAGCTGCTGCGCAGGCAAAACACAGCCAGCAGCGCAGCTATCGCCTCGCCCAGACTTCGAGACCCTCCCTCTAGCGGACCACTCGCCTTGTCGCACGGAGGGAAGAGCTAGCCC